GCTTTGCTGCTGGCGATCCGGTTCCTGAAGCTAGCTGTGCTGCACGAGGACTGGCAGCAGCTGCTGCTGCTGCCGCGGCTGCCGCTGCAGCAGCTGCTGCATGCAGCACGCAAAGACCAGCCTGCTGCTGCTGCGCATGTAGCGGGCCCGGGTCTTAACCCCAGCAGCAGCAGCTCTCTCAATGCAGCAGCAACAGCAGCAGCAGCTGCTGCTGCTGCTGCTGAAGCCAACGTCCCCTTCGTTATTTCTTCGGCGCCCCCCATGGCCCCCGCGCTGCAGCACTGTGTCGTCGGTATAGCAAAGTAAGCAGCAGCAGCAGCAGCAGCAGCAGCAGCAGCAACAGCAGCAGCAGCAGCAGCAGCAGTAACAGGAGTAGCAGCAGCAGCAATAACAAGGGTAGCGACAGCAGCACTAGTAAGAGCAGCAGTTGCAGCAACATGTATAGAGAAATGTTTATTCATGCTTTTTGTGTTTTGCTTCTGCTGCTGCTGCTGCTGCTGCTGCTTCTGCTGCTGCTGCTGCAGCTGCCTGTTTCTTCCGTTTGAGGATCTGTCTCGCGCCGCAATGCATGCGCTAAAGGTGCTGCTGAAGCACGAGAGCAACTGCAGCAGCAGCGACAGCAGCAGCAGCGACGGCAGCAGCAACGGCAGCAGCAGCAACGGCAGCAGCAGCAGCAGGGACAGCAGCAGCAACGACAGCAGCAGCAGCAGCAACAGCAGCAGCAGAGGAAGATTAGTTGCTGCAGCACTGGAGGATATTGTATGGCCTGCTGTGGAGCAGCAGCTGGCTGCTGCTGTAGCAGCAACAGCAGCAGCAGCAGCAGACCCTATAGCAGCAGCAGCAGCAGCAGCAGCAGAACGTGTTGGTGCTGCTCTAACCCCAGCAGAAAACTATCTCGTGGGGCTGCTGCAGGGGGTTGCTAGGCTGCTGCACCTAAACCCTAGCGCATGCAGTGAGAGGAGGCCGTTGCTGCAGCAGCTGCTGCAGCAGCTGCTGCGGCATACATTTGCTGTTGCTGCTGTCGAAGGCTGCTACTCTTCTGCTGTTGCTTGCTGCGGCAGCAGCAGCAGCAGCAGCAGCAGCAGCACTGCAGCAGTACGCTTCCTTCATATCGCTGCACCCGAAGGGATTGCTGCCTCCTCAAATATCCTGGTGAGGGTTTAGGGTTTAGGGTTTAGGGTTTAGGGTTTATAGGTCTACTCAGGGTTTAGGGTTTAGGGTTTGGGGTTTGGGGTCGGGGGGTTGGAATTGAGGGTTTAGGGTTTAGGGTTTAGAGTTTAGGGTTTAGGGTTTAGGGTTTAGGGTTTTGTATTTTTTCAGGTGTGGCGGCCAGCAGCAGCATGCATAGCAGCGCTAGCGTTTATGCCGTCGACGGAGGGGCTGCAGCAGCTGCTGCTGTCTTTGCTGCTGCCTTGCAGCAGCAGCAGCAGCAGCAGCAGCAGCTGCAGCAGCAGCTGCAGCACGGACCCGCAGCAGCAGCTGCTGCAGCGGCTGCTGGCGCTGCAGTCTCCGTTGTATGCAGCACCACTAAGCTCTTTGTTTAATAGGTTTCCTGCTGCTGCTGCTGCTGCTTTGCTGCTGCCTCTTCTATCAGAGGAGGGGCATATTATGCTGCAGCAGCAGCAGCAGCAGCAGCAGCAGCAGCAGCATACACTGCAGTACTGCAGCGTGAGAGAGGCATTCCTTGAGGTGCTGCTGCAGCACTTACAAATTACCTCCGCTCGGCCTTTACGGTTAGTGTTTGCTGCTGCTGCTGCTGCTGCTGCTGTTGCTGCTGTTGCTGCTGCTGCGGCATCGGCTGCTGCTGCTGCTGTACTTGCTGCTGCTGCCGCTGTATTTGCTGCTGCTGTATTTGCTGCTGCTGCTGTGTTTGTTGCTGCTGCTGCTGCTGCTGCAGGCTGGCTGTGCTGCGTATGCTGCCCGAGATGAAGCTGGCGCTGCGGTATGAATTAGATAGCTGGACGAGCGGCAGCAGCAGCAGCAGCAGCAGCAGCAGCAGCAGCAGCAGCAGCGAGAGTTTGCGTTTTGCTGCTGTAGCAGCAACAAAAGTATGCTACGCGCTGCAGCAAGCTCACCCGGATTTAATATTTATAGATTTTTTGATGTGTTCAAGCCTGCAGCAGCAGCAGCAGCAGCAGCAGCAGCGGCTGCAGCAGCAGCAGCAGCAGCTGCAGCAGCTGCATCAACCCCTTGTTGAGTTGTTTTGTGAATATCTCGATGCTGTTTCTGACGGTGTCTCATCTGTTTCTCAGCAGGCTGTGTCTGCAGCACGAGCAGCAGCAGCAGCAGCAGCAGCAGCAGCAGCAAGTGGTGCATCTGGTTCAGAGAGAACAGCAGCAGCAGCAGCAGCAGCACTTGCTGCAGCAGAAGATCACCAGCTGCAAGAAACAGATAGAGAAGAGCTGCTGCTGCAGGCGAAGCAGCTAACTGCTTTCCTTCATTTTGGGGTGTCTAGGCAGCTCAGGGGAAAGACAGATGCATATCTGCTGGGGTGGCTGCAGCGGCAGCAGCAGCGGGCGGTGCAGCAGCAGCCGCAGCAAGACCAAGACAACGACCAGCAGCAGCAGCAGCAGCAGCAGCAGCAGCAGCAGCAGCAGGAGGGGGAGGGGGAGAAAGAGCAGCAGACAGATGAAGAGGTTGCGATGACACCGGAAGCTTTTGTTGAGCTGATGCAGCAGCAGCAGCAGCAGATGCAGCAGCAAACCCTTGCTGTTATTCGTTCTCTCGTTCGCTGCTGCAGCATAGGCAGCACAGTTTATAGATTCTCATTCATACCGTTGCTGCTGCAGCAGCAGATACTGCCGCAGCTGCTGCTGCGACAGAAGCAGCGGCTGCTGATGACCTCCTTTGCCGAGCTGGAGGTTGCTGCAGTATCAGCAGCAGCAACAGCAGCAGCATCATCATCAACACCTGCTGCTGCACCCGTCAAGGCGCTGCAGCTCTCCATGGTCATCGAGCTGCTGGTGCAGCCGGTGCTGCGTGA